ACTGCGGTACCCCCCTCCCCCCACACGCAGATGTCTCTACTTCCTTGAAAAGTTCAGCCTCATCTGCCCTCTGGTTGTATTTTGGTGACACTGGGGCCAAAGGGGCTCTTGACCTTTGACCTTTTAAGCTATTAAAGATGGATTTAGATGAGGCCAACATCTAAAAACAGCTTCACCCACCCGTAAATGGTTATACAGTAATAGATTGATTTTGTCCTTGTCAAATGTTACACTGAGCAGCCGTAATATTAGGGACACCTAAATAAAGACACATTACAAATGCTGGCTTTGGTTAACACTGTCAAAGAGCAATTCATTTAAACAATGTTTATTATTATGGTTGTCAGCTTTAGTGAATATTTATGGGGAACATCAGGAAAAGTGACTTTTTAATTGGTTGAGCACTGCACCAATATTTGTGTCTCTGGAGGCGGCACAGTTCTGAGAATTTGGGTTTGAATCCGGCCTCTGGCCATCCAGTGGGGCGTTTGAATGTTCTCCCCGCTCTTGTTTATTTTATTGGAATAATTACTATTATTTTTGCATGTTAGGTTCATTGAAGACTCAAAAATGTCCTGATGTTCGAATTCGACGGTGAATTTTTCATTGTCTCTATGTGTCCTGTGATTGGCTGGTTACCAGTCCATTATGAACCCCACCTCTTGCCCAAAGTCAGCTAGGATAGGCTCCAGCACACCTGCAACCCCTTGTGAGGACAATGCGGTGCAGAAAATGAATCAATGACCTTCTAGCACAAATGCCTCACCATCAAGAGTGAAATTAAACAATCAAGTACATCCACGGTATTTTTGCTGTGTGCCTATTTCTGAAAAATGTCTCTGTCAATTCTGTGCTTCCGTCCCACAGTGGGCATTCTGGTGTTGTAAACAATAACTGGCATCACAATGAGTTTTTCCTTCGCTGTGATTGGTTAGACCGGGTCAAGTTTTGGTTCCACTTTCAAGAGAGGGCCAGAGACCGGCCACTGGATGACACTGTCTGAAGCGCTATTATGGAGAGATGCTATCACTGTCGAGCATAGTGGTGTCACAAATAGCGGCATTACTAGTTTAACTACATTTCTCAGTCGAGTGGTCGTAGCGTCCTTGTTTTCAACATCAAATAGCTTTTGAGTAGTCAAGCTACTTTGGTGATCACATACTGTGTGCGGTATGTCCACAGGAGCTCCATTTCCCCAGGAGGTTTTTAACCTTAAATGCAACTCTTCTTTTTCACTTCACATGTGTATCCACCTAACCGATGTTCGTCCTAGATGGTGTAGGAAAAAAATGCAGTGGAGTGGGATGGAACCTGTGCAGCTGGAGACAACGTTACTTATCAAGTTCACACAGAACAGGTATTCATTCCAGGGTTTACTGGGCAACCCAAAAAAGGAAGCTCCTGTCAATATCCAAAAAGTCCAACACAAATTTAAGGACAACCAGTGTTAGTTCCCAAAGTTCGAACAACAATCGGCAACTAAGCTAGTCATCACGACTTAGAGAACATAACACTAGTAATCAACATATTTTGGACAGCAATAGAGTAAAATTGTGTGTGTGTGTGTGTGTGTGTGTGTGTGTGTGTGTGTGTGTGTGTGTGTGTGTGTGTGCGCATGTGTGTGTGCGCATGTGTGTGTGAAGGGAACTTTCTTAAGAGGTAAGAAAAATGAGAAGACGGAGCTGAAAAGTATATTTCTGGCACAAATCCAGATTGTTGTGGTCTTTTCGAATAATTCATTTGATACCGTATTTTATAACTAAAAAGAAGCTACATTCAATGGACGAAAACTACTACATCTGCAACTATAAACAACGTTGTTTGATCCATACACACTGTTCAGTTGTGTTATTAACATCGCAATGTTGTCACTATGTTAGTCACAGTCATTGCTTTTGTGGTGGTAGCGAGAAACATGAGTATTAAGTTTGAATTACCGTATGTGGTTATTCATACCCCAAAAGTGCAATTACAACATGTTGACATGAAGTAGCTCTCTGATAGTTTAGCTACCTTTGTCATTTTATTGTAGCTTAACTTGCCACTTTTCTGGTGGGTAGTTAAGCTTCATTTAATGTAGAATGGCTTGTTTACCTCACTACATTTTTCTCGTAGCTTGCCAACCACGGCCTCCTATCAGCCAACATCCTCCATGTGCATGGCTTCAACATCACTGTTGTCATGTCAAAGCCAAATGTAAGTCGAGCTGCAATTAGTTTTGTTCTATTTACACAATTAGCGTTAGCTAACATGCTGTGCTATTGATGTAAAGGAATTCATTCAAATCTCATAGTAATTGGAAGCCACTTTACCCAGACCCCCAAAAATCTGGAAAACTGAAATGGTGAAAGAGTTCAGTGCCACATATCTCCCAATCTTTGCACGCTTTCACCTTTCATCTTTAAACTATGTCTTTAGAAACAAATCTCTGAATTCACTTTATAACGTGTGTTAGCCTCTGATAAGCTGCAAATACTTGATTGCTCTGAGAAACGATTGACGCGGTCGTAAATATACCGGTAGATGTATTTGTGTGTTGAGTCGTCCATCTGCCACATACACACATCGTAGTGTAGGAAGTGCTGCCTCCACAAGTACAATGCCTTTCGTTTGTAGCCCAGAAGTAGATGGAGCGTTGTTGCATGGCATTTGCTTGCAAGTTATGGCAAGACAAGACATAGGGGATACCAAGTGCATCATCATTCTTGATCCTTGTGGTATTTTGATGAAAACATGTCACATTCATGGTATTAAAAATGTTATAACCTGCCAAAAAAAAAAATCTCACAATATGTCCTCCTTGAAGCATTCAAAACAATTTCACACATTTGGTCGCCATTTTAGGCAAGGTCAGATGGTCTTCTCTCTCAGAGGTAATGTGTGCAAAAAATTCTGTTAATCTTTAGCCTGCTGCTGGTTGCAGAGTGGAGGGGAAAAAAAGCCACCGTGGCTCCAGGAAGTTAAGCAAAGCACGCTGATAAAGTCTGCCTGCCTGCAGCGATAGTTCATCACGGCCTCTTGTCACGCCATCTCATGATGCGGAATCGATTGTTACCACCGAGGATTCAGCTCGGAGCGGCCTTCGCTCCTCCATTTGCATCACTCTCAAGAGCGTTTCCTTTTTAACGGACTGATAAATCTTGAACTGAGTTGTAATTTTGCTGGATTTATAATGAACATACACTACTAATGGGTGATAAAATACTACTCTCATTACAGTTTTCTTCAATGGTCTGCGGTAATCCTTGTAAAATGTGGAAACGCACATGAAATCTGTTTACTTTGTTGTTAACAAAATGAAAACAAGAGCTATCACAATGATCAATAAATAAATATTCATCTTTCCTTCAGTAGTGTGGTGAGGCTACGTAGTCTAGCTGACATCTGCTGTTCTCAGAAAAATGTTTATTATTATACTTTAATGTCCTTTATTCAAATCAAAGCAGATAATTTCAATGTACTCGCTAAGTGGGTGGAAAAGTAATCTTTATGGTAAAAATGGCGTGCGCTTCATCTAAACCGCTTCACTCCCAAAAAGTGTTCCTTTGGTTTCATATCCAGAAAAGAAAAGCGCGACGCTGCTTCTGTTATCCACCCGCGGACCAGTTACCTTGTCATGGGTTTGCAAATCGTGTGAGAGTCATCAGCTGTCTTGAGGCGTTGTTTGAACAAATATCAATAGTTTAAACAGAATTGTTTACTGAGCAGACATGTAGGTGTTTTTGTTTTGTATTTTTAGTGTGTGTTCGGGACAGGGTGGGTGGGGGGGGGGCAGAAAAAAAATAGAATCAATTAGTGTCTTTTTAATGAAGTGAACAAAAATATTTAGTACATTGTGACACTATACATGGCTGGCGACCGCTCCTGGGTGTACCACACCTCTTGCCCAAAGTCTATTGGGCTTTTTATGTTTGTTTTATTTGTTTGTTTCTAACTTTTATTTAGATTTATTTTTGATTAAACATTTTAATGTGCAAGACATTTGAATTGAATCATATGATCTCCCCCCTCCCCCCTATATGTCGGCACAATTTTTATATTCAAACTGTGAATATTGCTACAGTGGCTTAAAATAATGCCAAATGTACTTTTTTGGGGGGGGCATGATTTGTCTCATTTTTGATGAACACGCAGGCCAACTATACTGTTATATTTTAATATTGATCATGATGGTGGTACTTGGAGAGACAATTATTTAGGTAGTAGTTGGTGTCAAAAGTTTGAGAACCAGTGTGTTACTGTAACTGCAAGAAATAGGGAGTGTAAAGTGTGCTTTACCCCTGAGCCAGAGGGTATTTTGACAGAAGCATCCCACAAACAACAAACATGTTATGTAAAGATGTCATGGAGACACTCAGAAAAGTTCAATATTGCCTGGGGTGCCAAAACAAAGAGCAATATAATGTGTTTTTTTTTCTGGAATTAATTGACATGCAAAATAACACAAATAACTAACAGAGTACAAGTAGTAACCATCTAATCTGATTGCCTGCGCTAATCTAATGGGATCTGTACTGCATATTACTGAAAGACAGCTGGGAGAGGCTGCAGCACGCCCGCGACCCTTGTGAGGATAAGCGGATCAGATAATGCATGGATGGATGCATGGATGGACATCTATACACATGGACATAATTGTTGGTCCCCCTCTGTTAATGACAGAAAACCCAACGCAGAAATAACTTTAATCCGACAAAAGCGATAATAAATGATAATTTCATGAAAAGTAAACGGTGACAATCTGATATTGCTTTTGAAATGGCGGGACGGTGGTCGACTGGTTAGTACGTCGGCCTCACAGAGCAGAAGTAGTGGATTCAATTCTGGCACCAGCCTTCCTGTGTGGCGTTTGCATGTTCTCCCTGTGCCCGTGTGGGTTTTCTCCAGGTACTTCGGTTTCCTCCCACTTTTCAAAAACATGCATGGCAGGTTAATGCAACGCTCTAAATTGTCCCTTGGTGTGAGTGTGAGCGCGAATGGTCCCCTGCGATTGGCTGGCAATCAGTTCAGTGTGTACACCGCCTACTGCCCGAAGACAGCTGGGATAGGCTCAAGGATGCCCGCGACCCTTGTCACGATAAGCGCATTAGAAAATGGATGGATGGATGCTTCATATATACTAAAAGTAAGCAGCATCCGATAATATGCACATTTATGATGTAACAGGAAGTTTTGATATCTTGATTTGAGTGTTTTGGTCTACTGCAGCTCCTACCAGGCGTGTACTCATTTTGTATTAGTGCGTTTGTACTTGTGAGTACATTTGAGCCTACTTGCCAGTACATTTGAACGTATTTAAATCCATCTGAACGTACTCGCCAGTAGGTTTGAATTAATTTAACTACATTAAAACTTTTGAATGTATTTGCCAGTCAAAATATTTTTACTCCCCATTGGCAGCTTCACGCTTCCGTATTTATGACTGTTTGTACCCCAAATGATCTGAAAAGTGCATCAGCGACAGTTGCTCTCCTTTTCACCCCTACTTCAACTTGCGTGGCAGCGTAACTCCAAAAACTCATGAGTGAAGGTGCTAAATACAGTATAACATAAAGTACATTTTCAATCATATGACATTCCACTCTTTGTATGCATTTAATATTGTATTTAATTTTCTACAGCTGTGAGAAATAAGGCGTTATGTCCAACTGAAAGCTGCAACTTGGCAGTCTGAACTCCCGTTTCGCCACGATTACTTCATTATGGAAGGAAATGGTCTCAGGTGTACAGCATGTGATCTTTGACAGGTGCTTTGTCACAACACTTGAGAAGTGTCCCGATTTCTCCTTCTGGGGCATACATTTTTTTTGTTAAAAGCACCTGCACACTCTTGCCTCTCACACTTGATATGTGTTCACTTTCTTATGCGGCAAAGTTGACCGCTCTCTCCACAATGCCTGGCTGGGAAACCCTACACTGCCCTGCTAAATATAGTGGGCCTTTTCACACTGCGTGCGTGCGTCTAGTCACATGATCCAAGATATGGGGCGGACGCATACATGCACATGCGCGTGGACACACACACACACACACGCACGCACGCACGCACGCACACACACACACACACACGCGCACACACACACACACACACGCGCACACACACACACACACACACACACACACACGCGCACACACACGCAGACGCCAAATCCTGAGGCTGAGGGTGTGGAGGTGGTGAGGGAATGCTGAGGAGCTTTAATGAGTCGGCTGTGACGTGTTGCTTCCCCGTGACCCAACTGGCATTTGCTCCGTCTCCTCGAGCGTCTCGCCCTCTGTCTCTGCGTCTTAACCACATGCTAATCAGCTTTATGTGCTCTCTGTTTGATCTCTGGTGGGCTGTTTTCTTGCTGAATAGATAATCGTTGTGAGAGCCGGCCACTATCAACAACCTCCTTGTCTAACACTATCGGAACCGCCCCCCCCACCCCTACACACACACACACACACACACACACACACACACACACACACACACACACACGGAATGTCGTCTGGAGACACACAACATCAGTAGAATATATAATAAAGACAAGTATTGTGTCATTTTTTTCCCCATCTTATAAATCACAGGTGTCAAACTCAAGGCCCGGGGGCCAGATCTGGCCCGCCACATCATATGATGTGGCCCGCGAAAGCAAATCAAACATCTTGACTTCTATGATGCTTGCTAAAATTTTAACCAAAATTTAAAATTTTCACATGTAATATACAAGAGAGCCATTGTAAGTTTTCTTGTTACCAAAACCCTCATGACAGTAACTTAAACTGCAGTTGAATAAACCATTATTGTTGACTTCCTTATATGGTTTCACAGTCAAAACGGCCCTCCAAGGGAACCGGGAATTATCATGTGGCAAGCGACAAAAAATGAGTTTGACACCCCTGATAAAAAACATCTATGTTCAATTTCGCTGGGACAATTTAAACACGTGAGAAAGCAACACTTAATACAATACATCTTCCACATACTCAATGGCAATGCTTGCTCATGCCATTCTACAACACCTTTTGTTTTGAGGTGGGTTTTGTTTTTTTCTGAACCACCCTAAAGAGACACAGTGCAGTTTGGTCTGTAAATATTTGGCATTCACGGTTTATCCTGGCTGCGGTAACCAGTACACTTGACAAGAAATGAAAGTGCTGTGAAGATTCAACACACTTGCACTGTTATGGCGAGCCGGTTGAATATTTATTTATTCAATAACTGTATCCTACTTGTGCTTTGCATTGTCCATGAATCGGCTTGTGCAGATGTACAAGTACCTCAAGTTTTGGCCACTGAGTGAACTGTACACACTTTCATGATGTTCATGCAAAAAGGTCCTCTTGTTTTGTGTTTGTTGTAGCTATTGAGCAGTTTCTTTGAATTAATTGACTTCTATCCTTTGAGTGGACTTTTGTCTTTCTGTTTGAGTTGAAGAATGAAGTAGTAAGATGACATTACTTGGTGTGTCCTATCATCTCAGTGCACTAAAACTCAGAATTGCTGGGATCATTGTACTGTATTGAAACACCGTCACAATGTCAAATCATTTGTTCAAGCACTTTATAGTAGGTTGTTTTCGAGTATGATACTTCACATGCGAATGCACCATAAACACACAAGAAGGGTAATACCTGTACCATGAAAACAAAGCGCCGCTGGTTATTAGAATTCATTTGAATGTTGTCCAAGATGGTGATTGAGCTCTCTCTGCATATTACTCCATACCCAATTGAACTTTGGGGTTCGAGTCAGGGTCCTGTTCCGCCTTCATGTGGCCTGAGCAGGACCACAGATGTCTTAAGTCTGGAGTTACTCTTTGCACAGTACTCATGACACAATTCAGTTCATCAGTCTCTTTGGGGCCACAGCATTGTTTCACAGCAGGCCGAGCGGCGTGTTAATGGATCAGTGATGTGCCTCTGGTCAGTAGATGAGCAGGTTTTGCAGGCAACGGAGGCTTACTGAAGCTATGAGAAGGAACAGATCCAAAGGCTTTCCTGAGCTGGGCCACTCTGCCTCCATATTCTGACTTATTTTCTTGAACAGTTAAGCCATCTGAGAAAGAAAGTAATGACAACATTAATTCAAAAAAGTCAGAATGACACTGTCAGCTAAAGTATTGTACCTACTTGGAATTATGCAGTTGAGGTATGGGAACAAAAAACAAGAAAAACTGTAATTGTTTATTGTACAAATCCGTATTCAAATGAAGTTGGGCAATTGGGTAAAACGTAAATTATTTTTGACCTATATTCAATTTAATGCATGAAAAAAGACCCTGTATTTATTTATTTATCTATTTATCTATTTACTTTCAAATATTCACAGATTTTGAATTGGATGCCTGTAACACGTTTGGACAGGGTCATGTTAATCACTGTCTTGCATATCCTTTTAACAACACTCATTAAGCATTTTAAGGTCACTAATTTTCCCAATTTTTTTTTTTTGTAGCGCAACAGTCTGAGGTCTCCGTTGTTGGATTTTGCGCTTCATCATGAGACACATGCTTACAACAGGAGACACAGTCTAAACTGCTAGCAGGACAGGCCAGTCTAATACTATACTGCTTATTGTAACACATGCATTCATTATGTGGCTCGCTATTTTCTTGCTGAAATAAGCATGGATGTCACTGAAAAGGACATTGTTTGGATAGCATATGCTGCCCCAAATCCAAAATGTACCTTTTCAACATTAATGGTGCTGTCACAGATGTGCAGGTTACTCATGCCATGGGCACCAACACCTACTATACCATCACAAATGCTATCTTTTGAACTTTGCACAAGTAACAATCTGGATGGTTCTTTTCCTCTTTGGCCTGGAGGATACGACGTCCATGATTTCCGAAATCAATTTGGAATGCGGACTCATCAGACCACAGCACACAGTTGCTCACAAAGTGCTATACCTCAGCGTATCCTTGTTTTTGAACAACTGAATTGCGGAAAATAATTAATAAACAAGGCTACGGTCTGAAACATTATTATTTGCAGTACTTCGCTGCCTGCAGCGAAATTGCAAAATGTGGAACTCCACAAGGATGCGTTCTAAGATGTAATTCATTTAGTCTAATAATCAGTTTGAACATGAAACATCTTGTCTTTGCAGTGTATTCACTTGAATATGGGTTGAAAAGGATATGCACGTCATTGTGCTTTTTTAAAACTTATATTTTACATAATGTCCTAACCTGATTGGAAGTGGGGAAAGTAATAAATAAACAAGGCTAAGTTCTGAAACCTTATTATTTGCAGTGCTTCATAATTGCAAAATGTGGAACTCCACAAGGATGCGTTCTAAGATCTAACTGATTTAGTCCACCACGCCTTATTGCTTTAATCTTACTTTAGAAATGTGTTGGTTTGATGTATGATGATGGTACAGTTATATATTTTGTCAGTGGAACGTTACCCCAAACAAACCACTGTTTACATTCACTTTAAAAGGTTTAGGCCATGTTTACATGACAAGGACTCACAAAAGTGGAAATTATTTTGTGTGTGTGTGTGTGTGTGTGTGGGGGGGGGGGTTGTTTGTTTTTACATTTTATATACAGCATTGTCAAAACAACCCTGTTAACGACTGACAACTCTGTAAGATGCATTCCATTCATGTAGTTGGCAATGGCACAACACTCATGGGCATTTGTATGGCTCTGAAGACCTTGGTATGGAATGAAACTACGCTGGATGCAGTAGCACAGTAGTACTGCAGTAAATGTACATGTTGCTGGCACAGATGCAACAATAGCTCTATTGTCTACCATTGTCTCTGCAATTTAACAACAAAATAGGCTTCAAACTGCTGTTGTTTTGTAAACATATGGTCAAACCTGTACAGTTTTTATACATACCCATGTACTGGAACAATAGTCTTAGAATGGAGTATACAGTATTAGAATGTGCCTTTAGTTGTCTATATGTGCAATGCCATTGGCTGGCGACCAGTCAAGTGGGTATAGAAAACCATTAATGGATTAATAGATCGTCGCACAATCGTGATAAGTTTCAGAGCAGGGTAAAGTGATGCATTTGACAAGATTTTCATTTGATACAGGGTCAACATGTTAAACTAATGACATATTTTGTTGGATTTTTACCACTTTTGCTTTTAATCAATCAGTATTTTGTACCTAAAAGAGAACTGAACATTGGCAGTTTGTTTTCACCATCAGTCCTCTTTGGTTTTCTCACCTCTGGCCTGTGTGCTGACCCTTTCTGCGTCTAACAGCTGGGCTTTGAGTGCTGGTTTGTTGCCATGGCTACTAAGATGGGGCCTGTAGAGAGGAGCCCAGTCACTGAGATTGTCCGAGCTGCTGCCTGATTCACTGTCACTGCTCTGGCCAGGGTCTTTCAGGTCGTCATCTGCGCTGTAGGCGTCCATCTCATCCTCAGACGATTGGACGTTTGGTGAGTCGGGGTCATTCTGTGTGCAAAGAGAGCACAATGTTACAATCAGTGGGCGGTTATCACATTATCTTAACTTAAACAGCCAACACAAACACATTAACTCACAGCCGCGTCATCAGTGAGGGCGAGCTGGGTTTCTTCTTTAAATCCAAGCTGCCGGGCGGTTTTTCCTGCCTGCGTGTCTGCTGTCTGGATGCCATTCATATTATCAGGATGGAGCCTGTTCCGCAACAGTCGCCATCAGAGGACGGTCAGCAGATAGTCAGTCACAACAGCCTATGAATCACTCTTCCAATGACTCATTTAGCAAATAACTTGAATAATCCAATAAGGGATGAGTGGACGGCAAGCTACCCCTTAACTTTAGTTTGCTGTTCTCATTTTATCAAAGGCTAAGTGATGTCATGTGGTCACGTGCTGGGATGGAGGGGGGCAGGAATCTATGTGGAATGTGCTGACTGAGGATCAAGAGCCAACATGACAGCGAGCATGAGTTCTCTCAGTATGGCACAAAAGTGAGTTGCTCAGTGATGTTGTCATGGAGGAGTGGAAGAGGGCTCTCGTGGAAATAAAGCTCTGGTGAACTTCATGACCAAGAGTGTTAAGACAGGGCTGGAAAATAATGCTGGCCACATAAACAAATTGACACTTTGGGCCCAATTTGGACTTTTTCACTCAGGGATCTTGTCACTGTTGTTCTTAGCTGTTTCGACAATGTCTCGGTATTGAGTTATTTTGATGGGACAGTAAATTTACACTGTTCCACGAGCTTTACACTGATTACTTTCGCAGCCACGTGGCATTTTTTTTTTCCAGCGTTGCCCTTTGGAAGGGTCTAATAGGATGTTGACAAAAATTACTGTTTTTATGTGGACTCATGTTTAAATAAACAAAAAGGACTGAACTGTCTTATAAGACACATACACTGGACATTGTCATCGAGATCTTAATTTAATGCATTTTTTATTAATGTAGTTATTGCGAAATGCTTTCTATTTTATCACGAATAATCTGCAGTCATTAGCCATTTCCGACGTTGATGCTGGGATTTCCAAAATCGACTTTCATCCTTCCATAAAAATAATGTGAATGACAGTTCCTCACGTGACGTTTTGTGTGCTAACCTGTTATTGAGAAGGTTCTGGAGAAGTTTGGAGGACCTGAACTCGTCCACTTCTCCAATCACACGGACACACACATCTCCATCACGCCCGAGGAGCCAGCTCACGTGCTTGTTGGTGGCTGCAAACAAACGACAAAAAAAGGGAAATCGAGTCGAGCACGTCGCCTCATGGATTGTTATGACGACTTGTTTCCAGAAGATGGTGCTGTCCTATAAATTTATTCCTCTGGCAGCCTCTTTGTCCTTGCTTGCAGATTATTTCTGCCCCCTTGCCCTTTTACTTGCAGATTTAACGCTATCGTTCTTTGTTAAGAGTGCACCCAAACGAATTTATGAATGCAGCATTGCTGTTTGTATAAAACACACCTGCATTTAAGACCAAAATTATTCGTGCCCTGGCCGAATCTTAAAGTGGACTTTAAATTGTGTTGTGATATTATAATGGAACATTTTTTCTTCCCTCTTTTCTTTGTTATTATAATTTTTTTTTACATTTTGATTGTTTTTTTCTTTCTCAGCGGAGACATATTCATTGTTCTGAATTTATAGTTGGTACGAAAGAATGGTGGCAAAATTTGTGTATTGATCAGAAACATGGTTAATTTCCAAAATGTTTAAAATATGAATAAATGTAAAATATTTATTCCTATCTCGATCACAAAATCTTTTAGACTCTCTTGTGCCATTTCAATCCAAACGATACCTATTTTAACAAATATGATTTCACTTTTAGCATAACCTTTTGAAAATTTCAAATTCACAATTCCATTCAACACATATACAAAAATAAATATCAAAACAACGGGGAAAGTGAAAATTAGGCTATTTTTAACAGATGCTTAATAACTTGCCATTTTTTCCATCTCATCCGTTCTTTCTCGGTATTGCACTTGCCTTTTTTTTCTAAAAAACAAGCTTGATGATTAAAGTGGTCACTTCTTGAGAGGACAACAAAGGTAGGGTTGTTGCTTGTTTTACAGTATATCAAAGGGGGAGTCAAGCCTAAAATCTACATGACAGTAATATGCTGTATGCACCCCACTAGTCTAAACTCGAGGTTCTGATTAAAAATAGTGCTTATGGAATATGAATTTAAAATCCACCTGTTTATATCCATCTCTGGGGGTGACCAGAAAATGAAAATGACATCACAGTTATTCAGGTAATGACCAAACAGCAAGTCTCTTTTCTGAGGTTGGTCATGGACCTGACATTCGCAAGCTGAGTCGTGAACTGGAGCCTATCTAGGCTAACATCAGGCTGAAGATGTGGTACACACTGGACTGGACATACATATTGTTGTTGTGTGTGTTTTTTTTAAAATTGTTACCTTCATTATTATTTTATTTTATCACGTTTTCTACCCATAAGTCAAAAGTACATTTATTATTATAAAGATAAAGATTATTATAAAGAAATCTTAATTCTATTGTAAAGTTTTTATTATGTATTTGTTTTTTGCCATGCACATCACAAGCAACAAAAGATGCGTGTTGTGTAACACAGACTTGGTTGCCTCAGGTGATGTGGCAGAGGTTGGGTAAACAAAGACTGTAATTTAATATATGGTTAAAACCACAGGGGGTTAGTCAATCTTACTCGGCTGCAAACTGGTAAACCGATTCGACTTACGCTGATGGAAGCTGTCAGTCACCCGCACACACACACACACACACACAACACACACACACACACACACACACACACACACACACACACACACACACACACACACACACACACTGCAATGCAAGGACTGCAGGTAGGGATTTTGGTGAACACATGCGAGAGTTGACATAATAAACCACGAAGAGCCCTGTAAAGATTTGTGGTTGCCAAAATAACATCGAAAAGGTGGAATAAGTACGAGAAAGCTGACACATTAAACAACCTGGAAATATAGGTACATTGGATCCTGTCTAAATAACGATTGTTGCTTTAAAATGTGAAGTATTTGTCAACCTGTATTGCTTTTCCCAGTTTTTTAGTGAACATGAAGTCATATTTAAGCAATGTTACCTTTCTTTGGCTTTCTTTTGTCTTCTTCTTGCCGTTCCTCCCTCTCCTTCCAACGGCGTACTTGCTCCTCTCTCATTTTCAGGAAGAGGATCCTCTTCTGCTCTTCGCTCAGCGCCTCCAGAACCTCCGGCTCAACCCACATCTCCTCCAGGATTTTAGCAAGCATCCTGACGCTTTTCTTCAAGCACAGCAACCAGCCGTCAGTGCCGAAGTCGCTCGGTTCAGAGTTTCTTATTTCAGTGGTAGCTTATAATGGCTCGCCCCGGTTTTTGTGCTCAAGTTTCCTGCTCTCTGAATGAGGCAAGGATCAGGTAAAGCCCTGCTATCCTTTGGCTTGTCTTCCTCCTCAGAGCAGAGAGAATATGTTGGACTCTCTTGAATTGAAGGTGCAATGTATCCGGATCAGCGGTATGTCCTGAAGGCTGCTGCTGTGATTTGACAAGAAAGATGAGAGAGAAAGATGATTGCTTCCGCAACTGCTCTCTGAATGAGGCAAGGATCAGGTAAAGCCCTGCTATCCTTTGGCTTGTCTTCCTCCTCAGAGCAGAGAGAATATGTTGGACTCTCTTGAATTGAAGGTGCGATGTGTCCGCCTAGATCAGCGGTATATACTGAAGGCTGCTGCTGTGATTTGACAAGAAAGATGAGAGAGAAAGATGATTGCTACCTTACCGATTTCTCCGTTCACACAATAGCGTTCAAATGCGTGTGTGCCTTGTTTACAGTGCATACAGTGAGAAGGTATTGGAAATGCATCCGAAAAAAAATGTCTTTTTTTTAAATAAACATATGACTTGCATATCTACAGCCAAAATGAAAATCCTCCTATCTGAGAGAGGTGTCAAATCCAGGTCCAGAAAGTAAACCTTGGCACCGGTTTGTTTTTACCCACAGGTGCTTCTTCTTAACCATCAGGTAAATGAGCTCTTATACACACACATTTTGACTCACACATTTACTCATAAATCCAAACACACATACTTTCAGTAGTTCACCAACACACACACACACACACACACACACACACACACACACACACACACACACACACACACACACACACACACACACACACACACACACACACGGCATTGCTAGGTAGCCATTAACAGCCCAGTTAGTTATTACCGCGGGAAGTCCTCAAAAAGCCCATTCCTGGAAAAGCAAACGTCTTCCTCCTTCAAAGTGTGTAAACAGAAATTCAAAAAGAGTGACTGAGATGTAGCCAATAGCAACTGAGCTGTGTGATAAGGTTCAGCCAATGACTGTTGGATGGAGGTAAATAGTGTTGAAACATCAGGCCCTACTTTAGGGCATCAGGTGTGGCCACGTGTGAGCCAGATTTGGATTGATAGCATTAAGCTAAAGCTTTCAACAGGCATGCACCTTAACGTCTGTGGGGCTCTTGGAGCAGTAAGATAATTATTTTATGCCCATGCAAATAGCTGATGCCAATTTGGATTTTCACTTAGTGTTGCAAAATTAATCGTAATTACCGCAAACACACAGTGAGTGCCGTTTGATGTCTTCAATAAATGATGTAACATGTAAAAATTAAACAAATTACACAAAGTCAGATCAGATGACAAAAAATCAGCATCCCCATGCCAGGTTGAAAGCCAAAGGAAACCCCTGCCCTCATGTTTTTAAAAGTGATTGACAAAAATGATGTCTGATGTCATGCATCTCAGATACTTTAACTGCAAGTGTGTCATGTCTGCAAAACGGGTAGCAGTCCTCTACCGGCACCCTAGCTGCTATAGTTAATCAGGCATAGTCAACAGAGTTGCGAGGAGAGCGTAAATAGAGAATCAACATTCACAGGCCTAACTCTGTTGTTCCCATGTAAAGACAAAGCTTGCCCTTCTGGCCGTGCTCCAACATGCAAATGGGCTCAGATCTTACTTGTGCCTTGGCTCACATGCAGAGAAAAGAAAGAGAGTATGTGTGTGTGCGTGTGTGTGTGAGGGAGAAAGAGGTGCAAGGTGTGTGCAACGCATACTGAGCGAAAAGTTTTCAAAGTCAGCCCATGTGAGAACGCAGCGGCTGTTTTCACAGTGACACAGCAGACTGCGGAGACAAATGAAGTGAGGCAGACTCTAGAATGGCGACGACAACAAAGACAAAAGGAGAGAGAGAATGAGAGCGGACTTACTTTGTCTGCCAGCCGCCAGCATCTCCTTATACTAGTCTGAGCTTCCTCAAGAGAGCGGTATGATGAGTGTGTGACGTGGGCGCATGGAACTGTGTGTGTGTTTGTGTAGGCATGTGTGTGTGCGTGTGTGTGTGAGCTCAGTCGTCAGAGGGGTGGAATGCCGTCTCAGCTCTACTCTGCTGCATTTGTACTCAACAGCAGTGGGACGGCCCGGCAATAAAACCTTGATCTTTTCCCTCCTCTTTCCCCAATCACCTGCCAAAAAAATGAATCACGTAAAAAAAAAATAAAAGATGCATTTCCAAATACGTGATCTAAAAACAGCTCAGCGTCATTATAAATGACTCTTAAATGTTACTCTGCTGCACGCAGAATTAGGCCTACTTCTATCTAGTAAGTACTGTATAAATAAAACCAGAATAAGCTCTTTCATATGTGATTGCATCATGTGGACACCACAAACAGGAACTAACGGGGGATTCATTTTTCCTTACGATTTCATCTGTTTACCAGCGACACGGTTGTTGATCTTCAGTCTCCTTCCGTTGTTTTCTTCCTGCAGGAAGTCCTGCTGGCTTTGTGTGAAAGCAGTAATCAAAACACCACATGTGCGGGAAAGAATGCGCGCACTTAAGCTGATGACAGGTTGCTGGCACGTTTATTAAGCCACCGCTCATTGTGTTTCTTTGTCCTTCCTACCTCACAATGCCACCATTTTAGAGTCCAGTTGAAGAAGGAGATTGGTATTCACAGACTCTTGAGTAGTTATGGCTCTTTCCACTCACTGGACACTTCATTAGGCACGAGGGTCCAGTTCAGAAATTCTTCTGTTACACAGACGTTAAGTTTTGTCTGTGAAATATAAAAGATAGCAAGGATCTTTTATTTTAGTACACTTTACATGTCCCATTTCTTGTCTCTGTGAAATCTGGCCGAAACTGCTGGGCCAATGGTGAGTATGGATGATGTTACCATGACAACCGTGGGCAGAGCCAGGGGTGGCTGCACTCTTAGGTAGCACCCCAAACTGTGAAGTACACACACGCCCCTACGAAGACAGCAACTGGACTACATGACACTGAGAGCAATTTGCAATATTTTTGTGTTCTCTTATCTAGTTGGTGGTCATTCTTAACGAAATACCACAGTCAATCGAAATGCCTTTGCAAATGTATAAACTGTATTTTTATAATAACTTCATCTCCTAAATTACATGTGCACCCACGTCGATATTTTATTGTTATGCTGATGATGACTCCACCTGATTATATGACCCCTGTTAGGCCAAAACGGATGTGCCTTTCTCGGAGCTTGCACATAAAATCTTCAAGAAAAACAACAACCTCATTAGTTCTTGTAATTCTACACATGGCAGAACGCCAAATGAAACCACATCGATCAGTGGTCAGGACAGATGAGTTGTTGTCAAAAGTTGAGTCACACTGATACCAGACACCTGTTTGTTTTTCTCTTCGTTTGTCACTGGTGAGACCGAGGAAAGGTCAAGGTTGAGACATGGGAATAATAGAGCATTGGCATAGTGGGGTCTGTGAGGAACAATGAACAAATTCTGGTAAATGAAACAATGACAATCACTCAAAACAAACAAACAAACAAACAAACAAAAACAACAAAACAAAAACACATTTCCTTTCACTTTCTCTTTGATTATTTTGAGGCATTTTCCTCCAACAGATATATTGGCAGAATATCATTTAATATAAAGTTGGAAAAAAAAGCAAGGAAGGCAAACAATACTGTCACCCATAAATATCACGAGACGTGAAAGGAAGGATTAGTCAGGTAAAGATTAGAACCACTCCTTTAATGATCCGTTGCTGTCCGGGAATTATGAGGAAATTGTTTTCCACTTCGAGCGATCCATATATCCTTGTCATCAACCTACATTTGCATTTGCATCGCCATCGGCACACACCTTGGGAAAGTCCCCACAGTTATCGGCAAAGCGTCATCGAGCACGTGGACGAGGTGAGAATTTTAATGCGGAGCACGTTTTGATGATATTTTGTTGACACAGTGACCTCTGCTGGACAAGTGGGACGGTGCCGCACAAAAAAATTAATGCACTCCCTCTCGCCCAATGACACTTGGGATTGGCTCCATCACGCCCGCGGGCCGAGTGAGAATAAGTGGTTCGGAAAATGGATTCATGGATGGATGGAAATTCACACCATTTTGGAAATGTGGCAAGAAGCTAGAATAGTGGGAGAAAATTCACGCAAGCACAAGGGAAAAACCTAAACTCTACACAGAAGGCCGGAGCCACGCTTACCTCTTATAATAACAATTAAAAAAAAAAAAAATAATAATAATAATAATAATAATTTCTCCCATTTGGAAAAAAAATGGACAAAAACGTGCTTGAATTTTATGAGCACTTAAGGAGCACAGTTTTTGATGGAAAAAAAGTATTCTAAACACTCCAAACAACACTAAAATAGCCTGTAATTGATTATATCTGTGTCCTACGATTAATTGGAAATGTGTTTAGCCACTGGCCAGTTAATATTTGTAATAGTGTATTATGTGTTGGGTTACTAGGTTAGTAACGAAGGGGTGAGCTGCTGAATGATATACAGTATTTTGAAGTTACTGTTCTATATTATTTATATTGTATAATTGCAAGGAACTAAAAGAAAAGCTTAGTCAACAATCCACACTCATTGCTGTACATAGAACAGCAGTGAATCACACAATCACACGCAGCACCAAACACCATTGTAGTTGTGATTTAGTCCATATTATTCTTTTACTACACAAGACAGGAGTGTGGGTTGGCGCGCAGAATGGAGGGTTGGTGAACTCAGCCTCTCACGTGCTGCTTAATCACTTTATCCTTGCCTGCTCTCCAATTCCGAGGCAGTCATGAAGGATTCTCAGCAACATTTTCCACACTCCTGAACCAAAATATGCATAACAGGGTGGAAAGAATGAGGGGATCAGTTGAGAACATGAAAATATGATTCCAGCTTTTCCCCTTACTTTACTCCCCTCTGATTTCTCCTCAAACAAATCCAAACAACTGAAATCTATGATTTGAAAGATTCACTACAATACCTAACGAGGAGGATTATAATAAAGTTCTAGTCGACCATCAAATTATTGGAAGCATTTAGTAGTCTTATTCGGTAAAATGTAGCCCCAGCTCTGAATCGGTAGATTCTCATTCAGGCCTGTCCAAAATGTGGGCCGCCGGGCAGATCCTTTTTTATTTCCTGCAGCACATTCGAAAAATAACATGTACTGTACTGTACTATGATCTGCACTATGTGGTGGTGTGCATTGTACTTCTTACTTTCAACACTAGGTGGCCCTGCAGTCACCATTGTGAAAACCAAAATAAGAAATGAGTCGGCAAAGTCATCAGAAAAATGGTTCAGACCTGCTTGGAAAAAGAAAAGATGGTGTCACGGCTTAATATGCCAAACTGTTATTGTAGGGATTTAAAACTGTAATATTCGAAGACACGAGGAAAACAAATATAATATATACATGTCGAGGGGACAGCAGGTTAAGCAGATGTTTTTTCCAAACCAACAATCAAACACTACAATCAACGTAATGTCCGTCTGAAAGAGAGTTCATAATAAAGTGAATGATACGCACTGAGAGAAGGCTGTTTAACCGGTGTTAGCTTGTCCACAGACCCCTGGTAACTTTTTTTATTTTTCCTCCTTCACGTGTTATGGGTTACCACAGACTAATGGAAAGCCGTTGAAGCATTTATTCCACATCCTTGATATTCACTTTAAGTTCCATGTAGCTGTTTGTCTTCACTACGAGGATACATTTTCATACAAGTAGGACAACTATGTGCAACGTACATATTCCTAGCAAGGGACAAATGTGTACTAGTTGAAAACTGCATGTTACTGGTAGCACAAGTGACATTATAACATTATACCACTTAACATCTAGCACTTCACAAGTCGTATTTATAGCATTCAGATGTAGTTTTAAGCAGTTTTGTCTCACAAGTAACATGTGGTCGCAGTTATCCTACTCGTGTGCAGAAAGGTCCATGACCAGAAAGGTCAGAAAGGCAGTCGTGGAAAAAATGTGACAAGTAAGACACTGTTCCGCTAGTGGGCTGAATTGTTTCACTAGTAGTGAGGATAGAGACCGCACTATACATACATGTAGACCTTAAGTTGGATATCTATCTATCAATCTATATATATTACATGAAGCGTTTTATAATCCACCCCTCATTCCAATATTTTTTGCACAACATGATGGTTGTGGTTAGACAGACCACAAAGATTGACAGTATTTTTCTTTCCAAGGCAGAACAACCAAGCTGGGGCCATCATTGAGCACCATTCTCCTCAAGCACCATGGTTGAATTTTTGTTCGATTTGTTTCGCGGGGTTTTGGCATAGAACAAATAAATCATTGTATTTATAGACCTCTTTAGATATTAAGCAAAAGTCATGTTATGTTTACAATAATGGTTACTTGATGGAGTGCAGACCAGCAATTAGTTAAGCAGGATGCATGACTTGAGTTTCTGGTGAATTATTCCACCTTTTTTTTTTTTTTCCCACAGGAGAGATTTGGTTCGAAAGTTTCCATCTATTCATGGCTTTGTCAGGTTCTTTAGCTCCAGGCTGTGAAACTTATCCAAGCTGAAGGCTAAAAATGGTTGCTTTTCATACAGCTGGATCAACAGTGGAAAAACATTTGTAGAAAGTGCTACATCTGAACACAGGCTCAGTACCCCCCTGGAAAGCGTAGAGAGCAGTCAAAACAGGAGTGAGTATGTGTTGGCTTATTCTTTGGAAAGAAAACCAGCAGGGAGCTATGCATTCTATTTCCTGCCGCCGCACACTCTTAAGCTCTATAAAATGATGCTCTGTCAGGAGTCTGGGTTTTCTGGAAATCTGATGCAATTCACATAAAAAAAAAAAAAAAAAAAACACAAAATCACATTTCGAGTGGCTCAAGTCAGCTCTTGGAAGGGAAATGCAGAAGGAACCTGACTCCATCTGTGTGTCAGCTTAGTACTATTTTTCTCTTCTTTTCTTTTCAAAGACTTCTTAATTCTGTATTTACCACTTGGCATATAGGAGGACTGAGTGCGTTGCTGTTGCCTCGGCAACATGTCAGTCTGTTGACCTGGCTGCCCGGCAAACTCTCAGTTGGCACGCTGACCACGATAGACAGAATGAATCTCAAAACACACATGGCACACTCTGTCATGATGTTGGCATGGTGTCCCATGTTTGTCTGTCTGGCGGTCTCTCAAACACACAAACGCATGCACACACAAGCACATGCGCGCTCCAGAAAACAAACACGGACATTTTTTCAGCTGCGAAATGTTCCCCCTTTGGCTCTATGTGGTGAACAAGTGCACACAGGTGAAAGTGATGGAAACCTCTCCAAGACTCACTTATCTGGGGCAATGTGTCATACTTTTTCATGCCTGTGGACATCCTGACACACACACACACACAGACAGGCAAAGTCCCCTTCTTCCTCCATGATAACAAAGCTGATGAAGCTGTTCTGATCAAGTCTGAATAACGATGTCAGAAGCCGAATGAAGCTGAGGTGCCTTTCTTTTGAAATGACCAACAATGAGGTCATTGTAATGCAGATAATGCCACACCATCAAACCGCCCAAATGGCAACTATAAACAAAAAAACAAAAACAAAACTTTGATGTCATTGAAATGTTGAAACACACAAAACACGCGTAGCATCAATGCACCTTACACACCGACTTGGGTGTAATGTGTGTGCCATGCCTCAACCAGCCCCCCGTTGTTTGCCCTGTCGCGGCAGACAGCTTATGAGCGCTAAGCTCTTTGGATCGATGCTCGTTTGCAGGATTTTTCCTTTACTCATTCCACCTCAGTCAGTATATTCCCATCTTTGTAGAGGTTTGTAGGGTTTTTTTTCGGTGTACAGTAGGCATGCATTGTTTTAGATTGAAGGATATACTGTATGAAGTTCCTCACTGCAGGTGTGTCCATGTTTGACAAATTGTCCTACCTGATTGCAATATTACAACTCCCACAATGAAAACATGCATAAAGTATTTAGATTTAGACAATAAAAAGTATTTACAATATGTTGCACTGCTTTGAAATCTTGGCTGTGTGTTTAGGGCTGTTGGTCGATGAATTTTCTCTAAAATCAAGAGTGCTCTGGAGCAGGTTTTCATGCAGGATGTTGCTTGATTGGTGGTTTGCTCCAGGGATGTTTATTGTTCTGCAATATTGTTTTCTTTCAAAAGAGGATTCTGAGTTACACGACTGAGAAAGGCTCATCTCCCATGATCGCTCTGTTTAGATGGGCAACCAACTCTAGCAATTGTCCTGATGGTTCTGTACCTTTTCTAGGATCGGTGATTTGAGGCAATAATGACTTGGATGCCTACCAACAATTCAGTTGACTTAATGCTTGATTTGAGTTTCGATCTGCACAGTCAATTTAGGGTACCTTGTGTTTCTTTCCAAATCAGGTTCATTCAACAGAAGTGATTACAAATGGACTCCAAAGAACATGTGGAAACACCTCAAGGATGATCAGTGGATAAGGGTGCCATTGAGCTTAATTCTGAGCTACATGCAGCAAAGGCTATGAATGCCAATGTAGCTACTGCTGTACTATTATTATTATTATTATTATTATTTTTATTATTATTATTATCCATCCATCAATGTTTTAATCCGAATATCCTCAGGAGGGTCACGGGCACACTGGTGCCTATCCCAGGTGTCTTCGGGTAGTAGGCGGTGTACACCCTGAACTGTTTGCCAGCTAATCACATTATTATTATTATTATTATTATTATTATTATTATTATTATTATTTTTATTATTATTATTATCCATCCATCAATGTTTTAATCCGAATATCCTCAGGAGGGTCACGGGCACACTGGTGCCTATCCCAGGTGTCTTCGGGTAGTAGGCAGTGTACACCCTGAACTGTTTGCCAGCTAATCACATTATTATTATTATTATTATTTTTATTATTATTATTATCCATCCATCAATGTTTTAATCCGAATATCCTCAGGAGGGTCACGGGCACACTGGTGCCTATCCCAGGTGTCTTCGGGTAGTAGGCAGTGTACACCCTGAACTGTTTGCCAGCTAATCACATTATTATTATTATTATTATTTTTATTATTATTATTATCCATCCATCAATGTTTTAATCCGAATATCCTCAGGAGGGTCACGGGCACACTGGTGCCTATCCCAGGTGTCTTCGGGTAGTAGGCAGTGTACACCCTGAACTGTTTGCCAGCTAATCACATTATTATTATTATTATTATTGTTATTATTATTATTAAGACGCTTTGAAAAAAGGTCACATTGTTCGTTTTCTTGTGAAGAATTTGCACGGTAAAAAATAATGTGAGGGCTGTAAGAAAATAAATGTTGAAAAAGAGCAATATGAATACCCTTTGGACTGTATCACACTGGACACTTCATTAGGTACAACTGTATGCCCACTTCAAGGGGTGTAACAAAAAAGATATTGATGGTAAGCTTTGATTGACACTGTCAGAGGTGCTCCTTTTTAATGTGGCATTTAAGTGATTTTGTGTCATACCACTGAACAGGACTGTACATTCTACCATCATTTTGCCCACCTCTGGGACCTAACCCATAATAAGCAATACTGTATGTGCAACACACTTTTTTGGCAGAATGTTTGATGCCATCCTTGGTGTTAGATTTCATGAGCTTGTGCCAGCATACCTGATGTTGCAGCCAATGAGTGTATTTTCATAATGTTGTTCGTTGAGCTCATCAACATTAGCCTATTGATTCGTCATTAGTCACAGGATAGGCACACCCTTGCAAACCTTGCCCACACCACATGGTCATGTCTTTTCTCTACACGACAACTCACTTCTTCATGCAGCCTCACAGGGGACCGCCTCACCCCATCCAACCAAGCTGTTATCTTATTTTCATCACCCAGCAATAACTCGACCCTGCCTACCCCCATCCCGTTGCCACATCAGGGATTTCCAGTGTCCCCAAAACGTTTCCGCCGTCATGGTCCAGCAGATGTCATTTAGCAGCAGACACACCACTTTTATTTCTCCATCCATCTCTCCGCCTCTCCAGGGACCCAAATGAGGGAGCAATGTGTGTCTGTGTATCTGTGTGTATGTCTACGGGGGGCGGGGGGAGACCGGCAGGTTAATGAATTAGTAATTAGGATTGACATCGCCTCTCCGGTAGGTTCCCCCTAAACTATGTTTTGAATCTCTCATTCTCTGGTCAGCTGTGCATCCTCCCGTTGTCATCTGAACCCCCCCCGCCCTCCTATCATGTCTTTCCATCTTTTGCAGAAGAACATCCTCTCCGCCCACCCCCCACCTGCCTCACAGTGGGTCTTGCCTGTCTAACCTTCTCCTCCCCTTGTCTTCAAACACACACACCAGCCTCTTTTGTTCTGCCCACAACCCCCTCATGACTTTATAAACGCGCTTCTTCCTAATACTTCAGTTTTTTTCCATCTCCTTCTCATGTGCTATTGATCACAAGAGATCCCTCTATTGACGGAGCTTCTCAATCCATAGCGACTTAACAATAAAGCCTTAGAGGCTTAGTCCAATACCCAAGAAAGAAACATCATACAATGTTGGTGTTTTGTAAAAAAATAAAGTAAAATAAAATAAATGTAAACACATTTGTGGCTTTGAGGTGACATTCCAATAGTGGTACATGACTTCCAAATTGTTCAAAGGGGATTCAACCAACATATTCCACAAAAATTGACCTTGAAAGTGACGCAAGGTCACACAATCAGTATATGTAAAGTTCCTCAAGTCGTCAGCAAATTCCATGAAACCTCACTGGAGTTCTGTTCTGGAGTGACATAAAGTAAGCCAACGCACAATCGAAGCAGTCAGAATCGAGTTTGTCTCAATGGCGTACCCAGCCATGCCAGCTGAAGACGGCGTGATCTAATGGCAAGCTCAGCTTTGGTTATACATTGATTGGAAAGTTTATCATGGTTCATTGTTCGAGTTAACGGATACACGCTGGTCCGAATCCTGTCAAAGGGGGTTTGCAGTGTTTGTTAGCATTAAGCTAGCTGAGTTTCGTTAGATGACGTTATAGGGTTGAACATTGTGGTATATACAATGTTTATTAATTGTTTGTGTTATGTGTCAGTTTACAGTAAATTTCAACTAGGAGTGGCAAATAGGATACAGCTTGAAGCAAGCGTGTCATTATTTGAAGAACTGTGCAAGTGAGGTTGTTTTCACTACATAAAAGTGATGTTAAATATTCGTCTTCCATTTCTTGTCGTGAGAGAGTGTAATCAGTCACTCAGGAATACTTTAAAAACAAACCGATGTCAACAAGACCACAAATATGTTGTGTAAATTGTACTAATATTTTTGATTGTTGTTTTGATATGACTCAAGCGTGCAAAAGCAAGGTATCTCAGAACTCTTTTAAATTGTGAAACAAAGAAACAAACAAATATGATAATGTGTCCTTTAAATCATGTAATAAGAGTACACGTAATTGATTACTCTGTATTTGATTACACAATTTAACTGTGCTGGTTTACAGCAAATAAATGGTATCGGGTTGAGCCTTGTTGAGGACAGTGCAGATCGATGATAGAGAATGCACAGGTAAATAACATTCTTCTATTTAAAGACACTAAGCGGCCACGTCATCACAGCTCAGGTCAGATACCGATTGCTTGTTGACGGCACAATCTCACTCTTTTCACAAATATGTGAGGAAAATCAATTCCTCATTTTGTGAGGAACGCTTTCACATAGACACGATGTCCACTAATAAATCAGTACTTCTCCAAAGGGTGTCAGCTGACACCAAGGGCTATTTGTCTTTGTTCTCCAGGCTGCCTAATTGATTGTCTGCATTTCAGTGGTTTATTGTGGTTGTCTCATTATTGTGGGCAGTTTCATTTTCCTGACGGTAGGTTTGTTTAAAATACTCTGGCAAACCAACTCAACTCAACTCAACTGTATTTATAGAGTACTTTCAAACAGCCATCGCTGCATACAAAGTGCTGTACCTGGAGCAACTATCATATATACAACAATAAAGCAATAAATCAATAACAAAGATGGTAGAAAGCACCAAGGTAAAAAAGACAAAACAAATTGACACCAGATTGAGCAAAAATGATTAAACTGTATTTTGTTTATCTTTGCCTGCGACATAATGACAGGCAAAACAATTTGATGCTCCTAGCAGGCAGTTCACTTTTAGAGTTTATTTACTTTTTGCAACATTTTTTTTTCAATGAGGATGGATGGAGATGTATTTAAATATGTGTCTCGGCTTAATTCAAGCTGATAAAAACTTCTTTGGAGGTGCAGTTTCATCATTTGCCAAAGATTCTATTCTTGACACGTGTGCATGGCCCCAAATCGGATTTAAATTGGTTGATTTATTTATTCAGCAGTTGGCCTAGAATGTATCAAATCAGGCTACTTCATCTTGATTTCTCTAGCAGACGTCAATGTCCTATCTAACCAAACATGCATGATGAATGCGTACGCCTGGATATGACATCTGTGGTACTTTAGACCTTGGACAGAACTATTTAAAACGCTGTAAATCATCTGCAGGCTGTGCTTTTTTTTTTTCCGGGTCACTATTCCAACTTTCCCCCCTTCCAATCACGACTCATGTGATGTCAATAGCCTGTGAAATAAATAGGCCAGTGTGAATCGAAGAGGAGGACCTTCATTCACTCTTTCATCCTCCTCCAGTACTGTACATCTAACACATTTCGAGTTTTCAAATGCGTTCCAGTTAACTCTGGTGCTGATTTGCCTTGCAGGCTGTACTGGCACCAGTGACGCGCTGCTCCAGCCCAGCCAGTGAGAGTGACGGCGCTCCGAAGCGCATCCCAGCCGCCCACCAGAAACACTGTGCGGCGTCGTGTGGAGGTAGAGACGGGCCGTCCGTCCTCAAGAACTGAGGCGAGGGAGGTAGCGAGAGAGAGAGAGAGAGAGAGAGAGAGAGAGAGACAGACAGACAGAGATTTGGGAAGGAGAACCGAACCCGTCTGATCGCGCTATTCCCCGGTGCGGATGTACGGAGACAGACGGCGAAAGAGGAGCATCGCCACGCTCGCGTTTTACCGGTGAGTGAAGAAATATTCATTTTGGACGACTGCGGCTATCGTTGCATAATGATAGCACAGTATCCTAATGGACTTGTAACACGGTTCTGGTCTATTTGTGTGTCATGATATATGGGCTGGCGGGGTGCTTGACGAGCTGTTTTTCTTACTAATCTGGGATCATAATATTAGGTCTAGACCTGCAGTGTGTGTTTAGCTAACACAACGAATAGGTCGTGGGATTTTATGACAGGTGTGTTCGTATTTTATCGCCCCTTTACCGTCTTCATTAGTTAAACCGAAGACACGTTGCTTTTTGAAACGTTGCCCAGGTCTATTTTGTAGGGAAAGAAAGACAACCGGCCTCAAATGAGCTTGAAACAAGTCTCCCAGCCATCTTGTTGTCATGGTTACTGGCTCGAGGAGGCTGGGAGGACATCTCTCTCTCTCGCTCTCACTCACTCACTCTCTCTCTCTCTCACACACACGCACACACACACACACACACACACACACACACACACACACACACACACACACACACACACACACACACACACACTGTGCAAGTAGACAATGTGCCCTGTCTATCTAGTTTGTTTATGTCATTTAAAGTGTACTGGGGGACTCTGGGAAAAACAAGCATGGGACAAGCACATGTTAACAGGCAGTTGGTTGACACAAATGGACACATAAAGATGATTTTGTGTGCGTGTGTGTGTGTGTGTGTGTGTGTGTGTGTGTGTGTGTGTGTGTGCGTGTGTGTGTGTGTGTGTGAAGAGGTGGGAGGTGCTTATACTGAACTCGGGGTTCTTTGGAAGAGGGACTCAATGACATCTTAATAATCATCCGTATTAGAAAAGACCCGGTTATCCTAATTACACACATTTACATGTCTAGTCAAGATCCCTTGCATTTCACAGCTCTGAGACAACAGCACAGTGCTTCTCCCGAGTATTAATCTCAAAGTCAAGGTGTCAGACATGGAGACGCTCCAGCAGCTGCATCAGGCTGCACTTGTCTCACACTTGATTGGCGCAAGTGAAGATCTATCTCTACCACTGCATATGATATAACATATAAAATCTTTCAAATTTGATCATTGGAAGTGTTGCCAGTGAACTATAGTTTTATTAGATTTTACATGAGAATGCTAAAATTGAAATTCTGGCTGTGTACAACCCCACAAAGACACAATTCTGTTTTAAATGGAATAGATTAAGCCGATAATAAGATAAAGCCATGCATTATGTATGCTATTGTATATGTGGGCAAGAAGGACTGAGACAACACATCTTCATTAATTAATCAGTCAGGGGTTGGGCTTGACCCCTTAGTTCCCTTTCAATATTTCATTTTTGACTAAATATATTCCATCTATCTATCTATCTATCTATCTATCTATCTATCTATCTATCTATCTATCTATCTATCTCTATGCATGGATGGGTTTGGTGTATTAGAATCTGATCCCAACCCTTTCATAAAACTTTATGGTCGAATTAGAGTAGAGACAAAATAATCGACTCCAAAATCGTTCATAAAGTATTGGCAGTAAAGCGGAAGTTGTTCTGCGTATATGCGTTTACAGCATTTGTACAGTAAGGGTACAGTATCAGAAACAGCAGCAAATGGTTGATGTGCTAGAAGTGACATATCGGGGCGATTTGGGGGGACTTTTCCGCTTCATTGGAGGCTTGATTCTTGCTGGATATAGCAGACAGCCAAAAACACATTCTTGATTGCTTCCAACTTTGTGTTTTGCTGCCTTCCTGTCTTGGGTTGACAACCAGGAAATTGTTTCTTCCTCCATCTGTATGCATGCCATATAAATACATTTTTAAAAGGTGACACTAAAGCTTTGTTTGGACTGTGGCTGCAGTGGCAGGGCTGCATGCAGCCAGCATGAGGTGAACAGGGTCAGTGGGTCATTTATAACCGTGAGAGTGAGTTTTTTTTTTTTGTTTTCTTTTGAAGCATGTCTCTGTTAGAAGAAGAGTGGAGGAGGGGGCAGGGTCAGTGGGTCATTTATAACCGTGAGAGTGAGATTTTGGTTTTTTTTTTCTTTTGGAGCATGTCTCTGTTAGAAGAAGAGTGGAGGAGGGTGTGCATAGACCTCACATCTTATTGTCATTCTTCATTTCATCACTCGGGCAGATACATGCATATTGCATTAGCTCTGTTTAAAATAGTCACTGGAACGTGATTGTTTTGAAACTGCAGTCATGGCTGTGCTTTAAAAAGAAAGATATGAAGCATTCACGACATATTGTTTCCAGACTTTGAGGCAGAAATAAGTCATATTATGCTGTACATGAAACCGAATGACTTGATTTTGCTGTCTTACGAGTGGAATTGTCAAGAAAAGCTGACACGTCTTACTTTCTTCCAGCACTTTAAAATGATTCTGAGGCGCTCTTTCCCTGCATTGTTATGCTGAGCTATTAACAGCTGCTCATCATGCGTCATTGTTCACTTGGCTGTGATGACAAATCTGACGAGTGACGCAATTCTCCACATGTGGCACAAGTGTGCATATGCATCGGACACATGAAAGTCAGTTTAGAGGTCAAAGTGTATAAACAAGGAATCTGAGTACAGGCGGACAATACATTGGATAGTCCAAGGCCAAACACATGTTCTGCGATGCAGGACAGCCTAAAGCATTTATTGTAACTATAGTCGTGCCTTCAAGTATCATTTCAAAGTTCTCAAGTCATATTAATAATAGGAGAAACACAACTATACTAAAATCTTTGTTGACTCCTGATGGAGCGAACATGAAAATCCATCCATTTTCTTATCCGCTTCTCCTCACGAGGGTCACGTGCTGGAGCCTATCCCAGCTGACTTTGAGCAGTAAGCGCGGTACACCCTGAACTGGTTGCCAGCCAATCGCACTGTATATGAAAATGAAGTAGAGAAATAATAATAAAACCACTAGTGACAAAATCTAAAGGTGCAATTGAATGTGAATGTTCCGTAGGATCTTTTGTAGTTATGGGGAAGCAATGTTGAATTATACTGTATGAAGATATTGAAAAAAAAAATACAATATCCAACATAAAAATATACAGTTAAAATATAACAGATTATACACTCAATCACTGTATGGACTATGTGTTCTAGATTTTTCGATTGGTAGACAATGAAATCAAAAGGTGTACATTCATGTGGCTTGATTGTCATTTTGAAGTGAATTGTGTTAAATGTGATTCCCAACAAGTCAGTCTGTTTAATTCCAGTCTGATTGCATTAGTAGCCTCTTTGGGATCTCTGACAGATCCCAATCATGGTTATCTGAGAGCCTCCCAGTGGACCACGACTGTGTGGCAGAGAGATCAATAAATCACACCATGGTGTGTGCGTAGTATGAAGATGTGTGTGTGTGTGTGTGTGTGTGTGTGTGTGTGTGTGTGTGTGTGTGTGTGCATTAGACGCTGTGTGTTTGTGTCTGTGGTGGGTCTGAAAGATAAAAGGGTGCAATAAGAAAGGCACAAGTGACAACCTTTTATCAGCTGTGTATCAAGTGCACTGTGTTTGGTGGTTTACCGTATTTGTCTGATTGGGCATGTGCGTGTTTGCATGATTGACGGGTGGTCTGAGTGCAAAGAACTTACTTTGATAAGGTTGAAGTGCTTCAATGTTCTGCTGACAAAAGTGGAACTGCAATAAGAATCCCATAGCTCTTTTCCAAAGGCTACATGCATTCTTGTAGTATGTGTGAGAGCAGATCTGCTTTCCTCAGTAGTGGAAATCACAATGCGGCGTAGTACCGCTGTTCTCTTTTTCTAAGACCCATTTAGCTCAATTAGTTCAAAACGAGAGTCTGACAGTGGATTTAGACAGAGATATTAGGAAACATAATGTGGAGCAGATGGAGAGGAGAGAAGGGAAGAGAAACGGAACACGAGAGTCAGACGCGGCGAGAATTCCCACTTTCCATGTCTGGTTTCATAACGGTTGACTGTTTCCATTTATGGAGCCTTGTCACTGTTTTGCTTGGGTATGCACTCACATTTGACTGCGCGCTTTGCAAATGCATGCTTATGTAGCTGCATAAATGGATGCTAACAGTGCTTGTTTGCATATGCTTGGTAATTACTAAATGCTCCACTGTCAACATCATTATAGTTTAGGGCTATTTGGACTCAATTATAATCACTAATGAGGGCTCGTGGGCTTGTTACTTGTTTGGATAGAATTCAAAATGTGACTTTAAATGCAGATTTTGCCTGTGTGTTTCAGCTTATTGAATGAATCGAAAAAAATGCAGGACTGCGATGCACTACCATGGGATTGGTGTCCGCAAGATGGAATATATCGACAGTTTTTGGTAAATAGATTATGCTTCCAATTACTTCGACCCCGTGAAGAAAATGTGTCAGCCGATTGCAGCTCGCATATTCAGAAGGAATCTGCTGAGGGATCATTCAGAGCGTCCTTTGAGATCATCACACGACAGTGAGAGGGATTAGTGGAATGCAGCAGAGACACTCAGTGCCTGCCTGTGGAAATAAGACAAAGCACAAAAGACTTGCCTTTTCTGCTGTATTTTAACAACCTTTCAGTTTATACGTTTTCCATCAGGGAGTTCTTCATTCGAGGTCAAAGATTTGGGTTTGATTGTGGCTTGCATTTGTATGTCGCTACAACAAGAGAATGTCTAAAATGGGAAATATGCCTGGAGTGAATTTGCGTCAGTTTTTGGCTTGTGCATAATTTGCATCACACTTTCATTACTCAAATAAAAAATTAAGTGGACCGGCGGTGTCCTCGTGCTTGGGTCCAAACCAAAGACTCGAAAGCTTCCACGGTCTTATCAAATCCGCCTGCATTGAGTCATGATTTTTTTGCAAGTTAGATTTTTTTTTTTGCTAGTTTCTCAAGGGCATTATAATATCCTGACAGCAACAGTATGCAGTCATTTCATCTTGAAAATATTTTGATTGGTATATTTTTACAGCCAACTTTAAGGGTTTGCCTTTCACTGCATCACAATAATATAAGGCAATTCCGTTGGAATCTGAGTAACAATACATTTGAACCTTGTGACGACAAATCTCTCCATCAATCTTTATTCTGGGCATGTGCACAAATGTGACACATACAATGCATCCTGCTGGCATTTGAAAAGCATCTGCAATTCTATATATTGAGCTCTATCCCGCTGTCCTATTTAAGGTCTATCTGCCTTCCTTCCAGACTGCAGAGTCACTGGCTGTTTTTGCAAATGCAGCATTGGATTGGACCAGGGGCATCCCGAGCTAATGTGGCGCCTAAGGCCAGATTTGATATGGTGCCACCTTCATCAACGACTTACAAACGCTTACAAAAGATTTTTTATCCTTTATTTATTTATTTATTTTTTAACATTGTCTTTAATTCCTAAGATAACACCGCACAATTCAAAATGTAAAATGGAACATTTTGTTACTGTCAAACAAATCATGCGAGTGACTTGCTGTTTCAACATCAAATTTTATTGAACAAACCAAAATTATTTGAATGTATGCGATTCTAACAGATTTTTTTTCCACCTGCTGTATTTTCATTTGCAGTAATATTATTTGGTCATTGCTTTAAATTTTAATCTATGTTAGCTGCTCCACTTTCAGAGTTAGTTGTCAAATTTATGCAAATATGCGCAGCTTCCACTCTTGAAAGAGATTCATTAATCCACAGGAGATTTATCTCCACTAAGATCACTCGACTGGGTTGGATGTTGAAGAATACTCCACTTTTTTGCTTTCAAAATAAAAATCAAATCAGTTTTGGACATTTGACTGAATGTGAGTAGAAAGTGTAATCACACACTGCGCAGACTGCACAAATTCATCTTGCTATTTCTGTCAGCAATCACATCATCAAAAAACACCACTGAGCTCATGTCATGAGCACGGCATGCGTACAAGCCATGTTTGACGCATGAGGGGATATGCTTTGAATAAGAATCACTTACTTTTCTTCCTCCATAATTTTCCTATCAATTCAACTTCATATAATTTTTGAAAATTGCCCTTGTGTAATGATGGAAGATAAGCCCCAGAGGTCGCGCAAAAGTGCACCAGTGCAAAAGAAACCCCGTTCAAATGACATGATGCAATTTTCACAAAGCACATTTACAGCAGGGAAGGGAACGGGGAGTTGTTATTCAGTTGTCTAATGTCTGCATAGACAGAGAGTGCAGGAGCTTACTGGATGCTTTTGACAGAATTCAATTGTGCTTGATGAAACAGTTTATACTCACAATCAGTCAGGTGCAGTTTTGGCTTTTTTAATGGACTTCTCTCACTTTGCTTTCAGAGCATCTTGCCCAGTGGCCAATCTGAAGATCTGGTCCTCCTCCCTGACCAGAGAGGACAACTGCACCCTGACGTGAAGAGCAACATGACCCAGGAGGGGGAGGCTTTGCCGTCGCCCACCCCATCAGAGAACCCAGCTGAGCCCTCCCTAAGCACCAGCGATCTGCCTGCAGAGGCTCTGAACCAGACAGGGCAAGACAAGCCAGGTACAGAGGTGAAGCGAGACATAGAGGAGAGAAAAGAAGACGTGAGCAGTCAAGGATCCGCGGGAACACAGAGGGAGGAACACTGTAATGTTGAAGGGAGGGCAAAAATAAAGAAAGAGGGAGGTGAGGAGGATTTCAAAGTGAGCGCCGTGGTCCATGATCAACCGACAGACGGAAGGGAGGAGGGAAAGAGGGATGCGGCAAGCGGGGATGAATGCAGAAATGATGAGGGGAGCTCAACAAGGGAGGAGGAAAGGCATGCTGAGGATGAGATGAGAGAAGACAAGGAGGCGGGAAAGGGTGAAGAGATGCAACCACAAACAGAGGATGGAGCAACTCGGCCCCAGCAAGATGGACGGTTAGTTTCCTCCGGCTAATGACCTTGTCCTGACAATTCCGCTATTGCTACTTCATTGTGAAGATGTTAACGCAAGAAGTTTAAAATGGATGAGATTGGATAAAAACGTGACTCACAGTCCGTTCCTCCAACTTCCACTGCTTGGGTCAGCTGAGGCTTAGTGCACTGAAATCACCACAACCGAATCTGTTTTTGGCAGAGCGTCCACTTGCACAGAGCATCACATAAGCTGTGTATCAACCTTTTAATATCCTTCAACGGACAACGAGCACATACGCACTGTATAGCATCATTTTTGTGAGTGGGCCAAAAACAATGTTCATCATGTTTTTCAAATATGTTTTCACATTACGGGCCATATACAGTATAGTACTGTAAGCGTACAATGAGCTCAAAGTGCTGTATAAAAAGTTCAGTTCTCATTGTAGCCATTCAAGCTGAAACATTTGTCGATGATGAGTACATTAACTAAATAAAAAAAAAAGATCCCTAGACCAAAAACGAATCATGTGATGTTTTTCCCTTCTTCATATAGATGCAGATTGACAAATGGCATAACCGGGAATCAAGATGATGACGAAGGTGGCGAAGGGGACTGCGAAGGATACGAGGGAGGGCCTCATGTACACTTAGACACTTTTAGCTCTGACTTTGAAACCACTGTGGAACAGGCTGACACAGAAGTGGAGGAGGATGAGGAGGAGGAGGAAGATGTGTCAAAAGAAGCGGGTGGGAGACGAAACCAGGACAGTTTCAGCTCTGCGTTTGAGCACATTGTTGAGCAGGTGCATGAGGAGGAAGAGGACGAACGGGAGACGGGGTTGGAAGAAGAGAAACAGAAAGGCCAGGTGGACAACAGAGATGGTTTCAGCTCCACGTTTGAGCGCATCGTGGAGTCTGCCTTGCTGAGAGGCGGGACCTGCTACAGCAGTTTGGACTCTCTGGATGTGCTGTCGCTCACCGACGAGACTGACAGCTGCGTCAGCTTTGAAGCGCCACTGACACCGCTCATCCAACAGAGGGCTCTCTTACAGGGCCCTGAGCCTCTTGAGCTGGAGCTGGCAACTGTTCAAGAGCAGGAAGGGGCTGAGGCTGGACCAGATGCCCTGACCGATGAACCCAGGGACGAGGACGGTACCGGGGGCGGAGCCGGGGCTGTGGCAGGAGTAGGAGGTAGCCCACTGAGGACCACCATTCCAGGAAGCAGGTCAGAGTTTGTTCTGAGCCAGCCTGGACGCTGGGGCATCCCGAATGGATACCATACGGACTCCCAGGAAGCCATGGGGACATGCGGAGCCATGCACAACTCTGCCAGGTAAGAAGGTCTGCTTAGTCTGTTATGTACTGAGATGCGTAGGTGGAACTGTACTGCAACCCACATCTCACTTCAAGCTAATGAGACGTGACGTTTGACAGACACTGATAGATGTGTTTTGTTTTTTTTCATCCCTCATGTTGCTAAATAGGAGACTCGACACACAACTGCAAACTACAACAAGACTAAACATTGTTTGATGAATGGCTCTCAGTCCAAACTCAACTCAACTGAACCCAACTGTATTTATAGAGCAGTTTAAAACAACCAGCGCTGTATACAAAGTGCCGTACATGGAGAAAATATCATATATACAACAATAAAACAATAATTAATAACAAAGACGATAGAAAGCACAAAATAGTAAAACTAAGATCAAGTCTGAGCCATGCCGAGTCAAATGCCAAAGAATACAAATGAGTTTTGAGACGAGTTTTGAAGACGGACAGCGAGGGGGCTTGTTGAATGCTCAGTGGGAGGTCATTCCAAAGAGAGGGACCAGCATCAGAAAAGGCTTGATCACCTCTGAGCCTCCGTTTGGTTCTTGGTACTTCTAATAATGTCTGGTCCGCAGACCTGATGCACCGGGCAGGTGTGTCGAGGCGGAGGAGCTCAGAGAGGTAAGATGGAGTGAGGCCGTTTAAAGATTTGAAAACAAATAATAGGATCTTAAAAATGACTCTAAAATGTATAGGGAGACTAGAACTGAAGCAGAGGTAAACAAGCTCCTCGGGAGCTGTCCTAAAACTATGATAAAAATTCAGTTCTCGTCAGTAATATTGGACATAATCTGGCGACAAAATGTCAATTCACAAAGATGCCCTTGTTCCATTCGGTGGTCCTGCTGCTGGTATAAATGTAAGTCGAGTGAAGATCAGGTTAGCCGAAGCTAGGGACGTGATGTCTGAATTCCGTTTGGTCCATTCGCACAAGTTTGCCTTTTTCCAAGATGGCGGCACACGTTTTTTTTTTTCATTAGAGAATGTTTATTGAGCACGTCAGATTACAAAACAGAGAAGAAACCGAGAAACCAATATAATCATTAATAACATACAATAATAACAGTAATAATGATAATAATAATACTCAATGATAAAGATAACATATACTTAAACTTTTAACCTAACAATAAAAGACATAATTGATTTTTCGAAGATTCAATGCATAGCGAACCGAAAACTGTGCGCACAACACACACACACACACACACATACACACACACACACACACACACACACACACACACACAAAAGTGCACATCACAGTTTTGATGTGGTTCTCAAATGATCACCAGACCTTATTTGGTGCAAAACTTTTTCCCGATCTGTAAACTTAAAACTTTACAGAACTGATCAAAATCGCGCCGTCACTGTATTTAGTGAATTCTCTGACCAACAACGTGACGTGACCGTGGCGTACAGTGCATTGTTGTGAGAATAATAACACGACTGGAAGCATGTTAAACTTGAACATGAACGATTAATTTAATGATGGCAGATTTCATCACGTATCCTGTTGCAAACATGTCACAGAAGCTTCATCGAGATCCTGACGTTTACATTGCTTTGACCTTGACGGAACCAGCAGATGGCGTGAGGCTGCATGGGAGCCTGAGCGCTGAAGCAACTTGACAAAACAGGCGTCTGTTATTTCTTGTTATTCCAATTTAAACTTATATAATATGGAGTAAACAAATGAAACCAAAAAATGAACTGTTTTTGCGCAAGGTTAGGCAAAACTTTAGGACTGTCACCTATTAGAGGTGATAGCTACGCAAACCACATTATTCCACTAAAAAAGAAATCAACGTACCAGTATACTGGTGGAATGAAACTCTCTCACTTTCTAAAGTATGCCATGAATAAAATACAGATTAGACTCCCTGCAAATCGCTGGCAACTAGTTCGAGGTGTACCCGGCCTCTCGACCTATCACAGCCCACGTGAAGATAAGTGGTTCAGAGGATGGATGGAAATGAAACTGCATTTTTCTATTCGCCTGTCATTTTACAGATGACTTTTACTTAAGTTACTGTTGACTACCTATATTCATAACTATTCCGATACGTGCATGTAGAACCTTTCTGCCATGGGAGCCGATGGGGTTACCTGATAAAATAATGGTGTCGTATGCCATGCAAAGAAAGAAAATGAATCTCCTGCATCATGCACTGATGGCCTGATCATCACATGTTTATGTTGCCATTACACACTGGAATAAATATCTCAGGGCAGATGTTAATCACTTCACATCTGCTGAATAGTCATGTTGATCCACTTACAGTATGTGATTAAATGGATGCATCAAATCTTTTGACTTGTCTTATGCAAAGGCCCCAAGGACAAGTGGGTCACACCGGCATATCATTCAACTTATTTTTAATTACCTTAACAGCGCTATAACCGGGACTAAAAAACACAGACGAGCGCTACTGAAGGGGGCGGCGGTAAGAGGAACCATATGAGGAGAGCCACGTAACCTGACCTATGGTAGCGTGGCTGTTCTGTTTGCCTGCACACATTCGTTCCCAACACTGCCCCCACTAGCTTTTCTACAGTTACAAATCGACTGGAATGCCAAACAGATGCACACACCTTTGACACGATCTCCTCTGCTAACTACTGGGATTTGTTTATCAGGCACTGCTGGTGCCCCCACAGCTCAGTTAGCTTTGATAAGACGATATGGGTCCAATCCCCCCCACATCTAAAGATGTTATGCTTTAGGCACAGGCTTGCTTCCTGGCCAGTGGTGCCAAACTGAATGAGCTATTGTTTATGCAATGACATCATCGTTTTCAGATTTCCTCTACACAGCAGGCTTTTAGTGTGTGTGTGTGTGTGTGTGTGTGTGTGTGTGTGTGTGCGTTGCTGTCTTGCCAATTAAATCTAGAGTGGATCCATCTGGTGGGGTAGTTTTCTTTGAAAGATGGTATCTATTTCATAATGAAGCAGTCAGTGATGTCGACTCAACAAAGCTTTGGGCATATCAAAGAAGGATGGAAACTTTGCCAATGAATAGAGTGATAGTCTGCATTTTTTTTCTGTCGCTGATGGTGAACAATGAGAATATTTTTGACACTGTATTTTTAAGCCATTCTGGAATGTAAGACCCTAATGAAAAGTTTTGGTGTCTTTCTTTTTTTGTGACTCACAGCATCTGCAAAGCAGATGTGAGAAACAGCAAATATTTCCCCTGCAATGTAACTGCTTGTTGTCTTCTTCTGTTCTGACCTCATCCTCCCCATTGGATAGTCTGCCACCCGCCCAGGGTCATCAAGCTAAGTAGTCTTTACTGAGGGGACGTCCATGTATAGAGCAGTTTAGTGCAGGGTAGGGAACTCCGGTTCCTCGACAGCCATATTCGGCCTGTTTTAGAGCTCTCCCTACTCCAACACACCTAATTCAATTGATCGTGATAGTTTCAGGCTGCTACAGAGCTTGCTGAACATCATTCATAAAAGACTTTATGAGTGTTTGGAAGTGACACATTTCCCTGCAGATTAGCGCTTACAATTGCTAATGGTATGAGCCAGACACAATTTTAAAGTAAACAACAGCGCCCCCTTGACAACATTGCAGATGTTTTGGAGTGAGCGTACATTGAAATAGAAAAGGGAAGGGTAAATTTCAAGCTTGTAATCTACTGAGTAGCCCTGATTTATTTATCAATTAGTTAATCATTTGAGGGATGTAGCTAACAGAGACTTATGTAAAAAATAAAATAAAATAAAAATAACAACACAAAATTGTGAAATGCTGAATTTAAGGCACTGAAGTAAAGATGTATGCCATTACAAAACACTGCTCAGAAATCCGGCGCAAAAAGAGCCAATATCTGTTTTAAAATGTAGTTTACTCCTCTACATGTGTACAGCATTTGTGGCTTTCACGCTGGAAACATGCTGCGAGTGTGTTCCTCCCCCTTGCGTTCAGGCCTACCGGATCTAAGCCCGTGCACAGCAGATAAAAGCCAAGCACATTTGATTCCATATCGGAAGGGGCAGCTCTGCATTGAGAACTAATCTCTTGCACGTATGCCATCACACATGCAAGAATCATGCGGCACGTGCATACAAAACTGTGAGTGGCGACACAAACACGGGACTTCATCTCTCGATGTGCTGAGTCTTTCTGTTTGTCCACATATAAACTTACATATGCATATTTCCGCATGACACTACTGGAATAAAACCTTTAATGTGATTCTATAGCGTGGCAAAAACCCATCCTGCAGATTATCCACTCCTGGTTTTCAGTAAGGTAGTGATATACTGTAGATAGACACGCACACACATTGACAGGAATAGCAAGGCACTCACTCACACACAAGCAGTAATACAGACAAATTCTGCTGCATCCTCCCCACAGGCTCACGCACACACAGCCACTGAATCATTTTCGGAGTGACAGATTTATTCTTGTCTATTTATAGCTGCAGTCTGTGTGTTCCACACACATTGCAAAGTCTCACTGTAACAATAACAGGTTGGGTTGAGCTGAGTGCTTCTTCTACACAAGCTTTTTTTTTTCTTTGTCTCATACGGAAGCGTGCAACTGCCAATGTGGAGGAAACATTTTTGACTGTCAAACCCGGACGGTGTAAACTCCAGTGTAAATGGTTGTCTGTCTCTGTACTGTATATGCCCCTGTGGAGACCAGTCCAGGGTGTAGTCCACCTTTTTGTTTATCAGTCGAGACAGGTAGAAGCTCCTTGTGACCCAGTGTAGGATAAGCAGGTTTAGAAAATAAATGCATGGCAATCAGTATTTGCCATCTCTTTTGTTCCTGAGAGGCTACAGTACTTCCTGGGTGAGGCACATTCAGTCCTCTGGGACAAAGGAAATAAACTCAATCAAACTAGCCTGGTTAATAATCGGTTTGGATTTTTCATTATAGTTACTGTTTATTTTGTTTTGACTTTAGTTTTTTTTTAAATTTGGTTAATTTTGGTCTGAGAGCAACTTTGTTAGTTATCTTATTATATTGCTTATTAGTTTT